TTGTATTTTTCTCTGCAGCCTTACTGAAACTGTACTCTTCACAAAACAGCTGCTTAATAGATTTTCAGAAAATGGCAGCCACTGAAAGCTTGTACTGTAACAGCATTTTCAGTATCACTTTTCAAACTGAAAGACAGTTATGCTGAAAACACAACAAAGAACAAGAAACCAGCAAATGGCAAAACTTAGCAAGAAAACCTGAGTAGTAATTCATTGGGTATTTAAAAAGCATTTGGTTTACCCAGTCAGCCACTTGATGTATATGTTCCCTCTGCTGTATGAACTGATGGCATCCTATGTGTTGTTCCAAAGCGTATATGGCTCCAGAAGTTATCACCAGAGCGAAAGGAGAAGGGCACGGACGTGCAGCAGACATCTGGAGCCTGGGCTGTGTTGTCATAGAGATGGTCACGGGCAAGGTAGGGATGTTTCATGTGCTGATGCAAAGCAAACTGTTCTCAGCAGTTTTTCTGCAAATTCTGGTCCTATTCTCAGCAGTTTGTCACACTCATGTCTGCAAGGACTGGGATGGATTTTCATTTTCTGGAGCACGGAAATACATGCTCTAGTGGGTAACAAGTTACTCACTATAGCTTGCACTTAGCAATGCTGTCACCTGTTGCAGAGGCCTTGGCATGAATATGAGCACAACTTCCAGATCATGTATAAAGTGGGGATGGGTCATAAACCTCCTATTCCTGACAAAGTGAGCCCAGAAGGAAAAGACTTCCTTTGCCACTGCCTGGAGAGTGACCCAAAGATGAGGTGGACGGCCAGCCAGCTTCTCGATCATCCTTTTGTCAAGGTTTGTCTGATGACTTTGGCTGCAAAAACTGCAGATGGGAATGGGGAACAGCTTTTAGTCAGCTTCTTTGTTCTCAGTCATGCCACAGAGGTTGGTACCATGGTGAGGGGCTGATAGCAAATTGATGCTGTGCAGGAAAAATAGATTGGCAACTTTCCAGAAGCACATGTGTTATTTTCAGCAAGCACGTGGCTATAGGAGATGGTGTGCACCATGCAATAAACTTTCACTGCTGTTTTGAAATGCATCATCTTTATGTTCAAAAAGACAAGTCAGGCTCCAACTCAGTGGTAGCTAATTGGATCTGAAGGGCTTTGCACCAAGTAAGGGCTTTCACCGAGTACAAATGCACAGCTTTTTAGACATAAGGGCCCCTCCATAAGAAGTGAAACCACACACAAGAAGTCTCCCATTCTTCTGTGCAAAGTCTCCCATTCTTCTGATTTTAAGTTCATACTTGAATGTTTTATCTGGGAGCTGCTGTTAACAGTCTGCAGTTCTTGCATGAACTATGGTGTGATGCTTTCCTTAACACCAGGCAAATATTCACAGCTACAAATTGAGCTGTATTAGTAACTTCTTTTTTGAAGAAGGATCACAGTAGGTTATTAAATTGTCTCATTTTCCAGCATCAGAACTTTGGTGTTCTGATTCAGTAGCAGTGTGTTTGGCATTATCACCCACCCCTCATCAGTGCAGCTGTAGCAGATCCCATCCATCAGAGGGGGACACTGCTTTAGGCACCTAAAGGATGCATGGTAACAGTGGCAGTGTCAGTACTCCCATGCAAACACTTGTAATGCATTACTGTGGAACAAGGGAGAGAAAAAAAACTTCAAGGTGAAGGTGCTGAAGAAATGGATCCATGATCATTTGCTGCAGGAGGGAGATGGCTGAGATGGCTGAAGTAATTGCCTTTTGCTTCCTTCACAGGTTTGCACAGACGAAGAATGAAGTTACTCAATCTCTGGCCTTTTCTATTCTGACAAGATTTGAATCACTACTGTATGTAATATTTACATAAAGACTGTGCTGAGAAACAGTCTGAAAGTTGACCTTAACGAAGACTGCACAAGTGACAGTGTCACTTCCTCTGCTGCTCCTGTACATTTTACCTGGCACATGTTGCTCACGTGACGTGTCCGCAAGTTGGAAGAAGCTGCATGTTCAGTGAAAGTGCCATTACTACTGTATATGGACCAGACCCTTTTGTTCCTTCTCCTGTTTCTCATTTGACTGAGAACTTGTATTGTTAATATGTAGTATTTTTGAACTCTCTAGGTTCAGAAAAATGCTGTAGTGTTATCAGGCGTTATGGACCTTGTTTTTTAATCTGTTTGAGTGCACTGACTGTGAACTTTTACTGGGGTTTTTGTTTATTTGTTTTTGGCAAGCTTCGGATTTGTTATGCACAAGGCTGATTAATGAAATTTAAAAAAAAAAAGGTTTTTCTCAATAAATGGTTTATTTTAGGAGATGCTGGTGAAGGGTTTTTCTTCCAAAAGTAAATGTGGGACTGTGCCACATTTTAAACTTTTTACAACATTGGGATAAGACTGCTAAGCTGAGCTAACTGGAATAAGCTGCTCTTGTATTGCAATAGTGAGTGTTTGTCAAGTTTCAAGATGAGTACTGTGAGATGTTTCTTACACAAGAGGTAAGAGAAGTAAGGTTCCCCCTTTCATCACCTTCTGAGATAAGAGGGTGAGGGGCAATTCCTGACACTGCCTTTTATCTAAGGGACACCTTCCTTCTTGGATGTCTGCACTGTGAACAGGGAGTGCCCTGAATGACATTTTTGTCTTCTAGACGAGAACTGTACAAGCTGATTCTCGTGTTCTGTTTGGCAAAACCAAGAACCTACTGTTACCTTTTAAAAACTGACTTCTGATCCTGGGCTTTCATTTCCCCACCACATCTCAGTTGTCATCAGCCTCAGAAAAGGAAGAGAGACTAGAAGTGGTTAGCAGCTGGAAGAAATAGCCTGCAATGCATGATCTAGTTGATTTTTTTTTTACTTGCTATTACAAATAGGTGACTTAAAACTGTTACTTGTAAACATTAGTGCAAGTTTACATATTTCTGTTACAGCTTCAGACTCAAAACAGGTAATTTAAAATTTTTTAATATTTAGTTTTATATTCTAGTGTCTTGGCTCATCTTAAGCCACAAATTCTTGATTAGTCACATGTGTGGTGAGTTGTCAAGGAGATCCCACAAAATCTGACATTCCTACCTAGGAAAGTATGAACCTTGCTGTGTGTGTCACCTGTGCAGGTATTTATGCCCTCAAAAAATATAATACTAAATTTAAACAAAGACTTCCCCTTCTTTTCAGTGCTGTGTTTTCAGCTGTGTGATAGGAGGTATGTTGTCATCCTCAGTAAAGGACTATGAGTATCTGAGGTAGAAGTGTCCCCCCAGCTTGCTGTGTGCTTCATTTGCAGTGTAGCAGAGGTATCTGAGTGAGTTGTGTCCCTTGAACACAAACAGTGGACAGCTTTTAGTGTGACACCAAGATGACAAACTCTTACCAGTTTGTTCTTGCCAACCAAAAGAAAACTCATTCACTGCATATTAGCTTTTTATACTTTTATTTTTGTATAAACAAACATTAAGACTAATTTTGTTAAGGCAGTTGTAGAACATACAGTTGCTTGTGGGGATGAGGGGCAAACACTGCTTCCTAATAACCTATGTCATTCTTTTAATACAGTGAACTGGAGAAGTTTAACTTTGGCAAGGACCATTTCTCTGCCTGTCAGTGAGTGCTGGAAGGGCCTCAGTGGCGTGCCAGGATTTGCACAAGTGCTTGGGAGGATGGCTCCACGAGCAGCATGTTTTAAGGGTTGGGCCCAGGGAGAGGGGTATGAAATCATCTCATCACTCTTTCAGAAGTATTCACTTGTTTGGTACTTTCCTCTGGGAGAAGAGCACTTGGAGGGGAAAGGACTAAGACTCATAAGGAATGCCAAATGTCTTCCTTACTGCATGGTAAATGTGTGGCTCTCAGGAAGGCAGAACAGCCTCTGTCACTCCAGGAATATGTATTTGCTGCTCAGAACTGCTCACCTACCACCCTGAGAAAAGGCCACTGGGCCTGCCAGGTAATGTTCACAGTAAAATGCCACCCTGGAGAGGCCTTTCCTTTCTCCCCTGCCACCCATTTTCCAGCTCTTGTGTACAAGTGGCTTCAGGTCTGGCTTGTTAATGCTACTACAGGATGCAATACTCAGTTTTTCACTGTGTTACAGCAAATAGAGAGCAGGGCATGTGCTTTATTAAACAGCATTGTAAACATTACAGTATTTTCTACTCTTGAGCTGTAAAAACATCTGAGCCCATGTTTCTGTTCATGACACTGAACAATCTGTTCCTGAAAGGTTCAGAACATAGGGAATGCATGTGTACACAAGATGTGTGAGGCAAAAAGCCTCCCAAAGCAGTCTCTCACACTGCCTATGCCTTTCTTCATGGTGTAAATGTTACTGCCTCCACTATCCCTCAACTTCAGTTCTTGCTCCATGCTAAAAGCACTACTTGACCTGCTTTTTAGGTTCTGCATATTAAAAAGGTGAGTTTCTAGATTATCTGATGTACTGAATAGCAAATACATATTTCATGGAATAATTAGTATTGTTGTATTAGCCTCAGTTTTATTATATGGAAAGAGCCATGTTTTTATACCAGCTGCTAGAGTAAGACTACTCACTTTCTTCACTAAAGACTGTCTGGTTTAGCTCCACGCCACGTGAATATGGACTGTCTTTGAAAGTGTCAATCACAATCTCCACTGCTCAGTGTCGGGATCTGTAGACTTCAAAAAATTGGGATTTTTTTCCAATCATATTTGCTGTTAGTTTATGTCCCCTCCTTTCCTTTTTTTTCCCCTGCTTTAAACAAGTTATTTCTAGTAACTTGCAGACCCTTAACTCTAGAAGTTTAAAAACAGGAGGCAGTCCTGAGATCAGTACCAGGAACGTCAGAGCAACCCCCCTTTCCTCAGAGCTTGGTTCTAGTTTTATTTAATTCAGAAGAGTGTCAAATCAAGACAGACATTAAAAAAAATCAGCCATAGCCACTGTCCTAGGTCTCTCTCCTAGTTCCCCCTCGTCCCCAGAAGAAAATAATTTACTACTACTTCAGGCTGGCTGTTATGAGGCAAAAAGGATTTTTACTACTTCAAGTTTTCCAAACTAAAAATGACATTTACTCTGAAGAATTAGAGGTTTCAGCTATCCCTGGGATGTATGGCCTGGGGAAAGAGAGGGCAGTGGTAACTCAGCTCTGCTCAGGCCACAAAGCCAAATTGTGATCCAGGTTCTGCTGCTGCCAGGCTCCGATGTGTGGCTGTCCAGGCAGGCTCTGGCTGAAGCTCTGAAGGGCCCATGTAGTGCACACTGTGGGAACGGGTTCTGCATGTACAAAACTCTCTGCAGTTCTGCCAGCCCAGCAGAGCTGCTTCAGTCCAACACTGCTATAACCAAGCACAGCATCCCGCTGTGCTGTGCTTAAACACTGACAGATTATTGTTGTTAAACTGTGTGAGCTACACAACTATCAAGTTTAATCATCTTGTAACAATCTTCTGACATTAAAGCTTGCACCTCTGGTTAGTTTCCAGGTAGAGTCTCTTCATACAAGCACACTGGAATTTTTTTTCCTTCAAAACTTAAGACACTTCATAGGAAAACAAACCAACCACACATGTGCAAACCTGTTGTTGAGAGTATACGAAGGAGTGCATCCTTCCAGCGTGTCATCCAGCCCAAACCCCAGAGAAAAACAACAGGAGCACAAATTCAGATATGCACGGCAATTACTCATCCTCGGATTTCACTTGAAGGACCGTGATATGCACTTAAGAGTTTTCAGCAGTTGCATTTGTTCCCTTTGGATTGAAGCAGTCTCTGAAGGTGCTACTTTTGTTTCTGCTTGTTGTCATTGTTGCCATAGGTGGAGCCCTTGTTAATCTCCGTTACCCCGATCATCCATCTGACACCGACAGAAGCTGCAACACAAACACAGTTAACGCTGCTTGAGGCACGGCCTGCACATCTGTACTGGTGTAGCAGCATGGAAGAGTTTTGGGATGAAAGAGGCATTTGATGCTCTCACACCTCCACATCAACTTATTTGGCTATGGCATCTCATGAAGGAAGAGCCTCAGGCTGGACACATCCCCTCCCATCAGCAGGGAAGAGGCCACAAGGAACAGGATGGGTGTGAGAGGCACAGGCATGCACAGCCCTGCATGCCAGGGGAAGGGAATTCTGCTGGCTTTCAACAGCCCCTTGTCTGAAAGAGCACAAACAAGTGCAAGGGAACTTCAGATCTTCATAAATAAAAAAAAAAAGTAAGCTGTGGTATTTGTTAATGGTAGCTCATGAAAAAGTCCATTACAAGAGAACAGGTTAATTTAAAAGACTTTTATAGATGATTCAGTGGTAATAATTTACCCTGTGCAAGGATTATTTTATTTATTTATCTGTAGCACTTAAAGTGACTAAGTTGAATGCAGCTTAATCTAAACTCCTTCCCTCACACTTTTGGTTTCTTTGTAAAGGGGCTCATTACCCAGAATCTGTTATTCCTCAAGGGTCTGCTCAACTACTGTACATGTTCAGAACTGCCATGCTTCTTTCTGGCCTAAAGCTATCAGGGAAGTCACAAACATCTTCCCTCTGCTCAGAATGCTTTCCAAACTAAAGGAACCCAAACCGAACAAACCTAGAAAGCCACAGACCTCCTTTAAAGTCTCCAAATCCGACTGTCTTTCTGACTGATGGTGACAGTAAGGGGAGGTGCTCTGGATGTCTCATGACTCTGGACAAACTCCACCAGCCAAAGGACTCTTTATGGTTAAGTCAGTGCCTGAGATCACCAAGAAGATCCAGAGGTTTCACCCCACTACCAGGCATCCCTTGTGAACCACAGGGCTGATCCAAGGCTGTGTCCTGGCATTTGCTGCTCTCCAGCCCTGGAAGGGGAGGGGGCTGGCAGCTGGCACACAGTGCTGCCCTGTGCTTCACCAGCTGCTGTTGGCACACCAGCATGGGCCACAAAGAGCCACCATGACAGACTCCTGCTGTGCAGTCTGACAGCAAATTGGCAGCTTTTCCAGGGCAATGGTAACTGGATGCCAGGGATGAGTGACACGTCATGTGACAGTGTGGCTGGACACTGGGAAGCTGGGCTGCCCGTGGGGCTGCCCTCAGGTCCTGGGGATGCCAGGAAAGCAGGGCCTCTCACAGGGTGGGCAGAGCTGTGCACGGAACAGTCCAGAAAGGGAGCTGGCTCTGAGGGCACTCACTGCCACTTGCACTCCAGTGTCACTCTGTGACTAGACACACACACCACTGAGACAAGCTAAGGGCTTCACTCTCACAGACAGACAAGAAAGAAAGAAAGAAAACCATCTCTGACATTTAACTGGCCATGAGCTGGGGAACACAAGAGAAAGATCCAACGTGTAGCCTGCAGTCTGGGATCATAGCATAATAGTAACCATGAAATCATTAAGATTTTTAACCACAACGGATAGAAACAGCATCTGGAGATGGACACAGAGCATAAATAAGAGCAGCTGTTACAGCAGCCACACACCCATGCTGGGGACTTAATCCAGTTCCAAGAATGCCTGGACACAAAAAACAACTAGTTCAGCAGTTCAGATGTCCTTTTTTGTCCTTTGCTCCCTGGCAGAAGCTGCCACTGCCTTCTATGCCCATTTCACCTGTAGCCCTCAGCACCCTGGGGAAGGTGGGGTGCAAGGAGAAGAGGACTGCTCATGTTTTCCAAGCCTTGGAAGCAAAGAGGGGAAAGGCTGGGATGGTCTGTCCCTGCAGTGTCACCACTGCTCTCCTGAGCCTCAGTGCAGACCTGAGAGATGCCTTCACATTTAAGGATTTATTCACTTCTTGTTTTACATACAACTGTAATAAGGCTTTTTACTTCAAGAAAGGGGAGAAAGAAAGGGAGATCAAGCAGTAACTAATCAGCAGTGCCTAACTTCATAGCTGTGAGGGTTTCAGACCACCCTGAGAAGTGCATGAGAGAAGCTATTGGCTGAAGCATCCTTGAACTACTCCACAGCAAACTGAGGTAACTGAGCTCCTGCATCTTTGTGCCCACCACTACTCAGCATCCAAAAGACGCAGGAGGTTGCTGAGGACCTGCTCTGCCTGCTGGAGTGCTGGGGGCTCAAGGAGTGCTGAGCTGACACTGTCAAGAGAGCCAGGAGTGTAATCTTTCTTGGAACACATTTTAGCTCCAAGAAAATCACCACCTCCACATGTAGTATCTCATCCTTCAGCAAAACCTTAGCTCAAAGGATTTCCACCTGTTCTCTTACTACTCAGGATTTTTTTCTCATCTGTTGCCCTGCCTTTATACTACACAGCAAGTGCTATAAGCAGCACAGCAGGCAGGGGCATAAAAATATCCCACATATAGTTTGCACTTGAGTTATATAGGTTATGCATTGAAATTGACATTTGCACAACTAAAGACTATATGAATTGTAGACATTTCCATTGAGGGCCTATCCTACATACTATGAAGGAGAAGAAACAAGCAACACACTCACATAAAGAAACAACCCACCCCAAATCCCCCAATTTCTAGACATCAGGCTGAAAGGCCAGACTATCTGGCAGCTCCACCAAAAGGCAGAATGGACACAGGCATGATCCTGCATATGGTTTGTACCCTGCTGTAAAACTTACTACAGCCCTGCTGGCCTGTCCCCTCCTCACTTCCATTCAGCTCAGCCTGCAGCAGCGCCAGCCTCGCTGCCCAGGCCACACCGTGCTCCAGCCCTGTGCTCCACACTCTGCTCCAGGACACTGGGATGTCCCCAGGGCTGATCCCACCCACAGAGCAGCACACACATAGCAGCTCCCAGGAATCCCAGCTGGCTCATCCCTACTGGCACTCGGTTCAGAAGGAATGCTTCTCTCGCCTAGAGCTGCTCTGGAGCTGCTGGCCCTGTGCCACCAGCCCAGATGCCACCGTGCTTTTAGCATGAAACGTGGAATAGCTGCTGCTCCCTTACAAACCTCTCATCTTCTGCATGCACTCCCCTTTTAACTGCTGTTGACAGCTTTGCAATAAATTATATCTAGAGCACGAAGGGTGGGTGTCCTCCTCAACATAAGTTATCAAAACACGAAAGGCCACCCAGCATTTGGTTCTTTGAAGCCAAATGAGACGGGGAAGCAGGAGGAGGAGAAAAAAGAAGAAGCTGCTGTCACGTACACACACTGACATTTGACAGACATGCCTATGCTTCAGCACCAAAATATCAGCACCAATTTTTAAACAGTTCTTGTGAGCTAAGTACCTAAATCTCTAGTAACGTGTCCTGCAAAACTAAAGCTGGTTTTCAAAACACTTTTGTTCCTCAAACTACTTGAGCATTTATCCTCTGGAGCAGTGACTGCCTTGTATTGATTCAAGCAGTTTCACAAAGGGCTCCCAGGCCCAGAGCAGCAGTAAGGTATGAACACAGTGTGATGACTTTTGGGAGTATAAACAGCCAAACTGCTGCACAGCAAAGCACAAGGGGACAACATTCACAGTATAAAGAAATGCCATTTATTTAGGGCTGAAAGTGTTTGAGCTGAACCAAGCAGAGCTGTACACACATGGGTTATTCATTCTTAGACCTCAGAGCTAAGGTCTGAGGGATTACAGTCCTTCCACTCCAGCTCAAGTGGAGCATTTTTCTTAGTGCTCTTTCCACCTGAACAGCCAGTTACTTAAAAGCCAGTCAGTGTTTTACTGGAGAGCACAATAAGCAGAAACTATCCAAAGGACAAATGACAATCTAGAAACAGTGCAGAGGGTACCCAGTGAAAGGACCTCCCAGTCACTCTGCTCTATCACAAAAGGTTTATTTTGTGCTTATCTGCACCTGTATCAGGTACTGAAACCCACCCTTAAAAACAGCAATCTATTACAATGGGCTATTGGGGACTGCAGTAAAGCTCCTGATTCTGGAGTATCAGGTGAGGTGTCAAAGTGCCAGAGGAAAAAACTAAACCACAACCTGTGTGCCTCAGTTATAAACAGTGAGAAAAGGTCTGCTGGGAGCAATGGGAGAGCTGATTTTGTCATCTGATAAATCCCTCCAGTCTGCAGAAAAACCTTCCTTTTACATTGTTAAGCCACCAGGTACCAATTACCAGTCCCACTGTAAGGACAGCAAACACAATCCTCCCTGCTTTGCTACACACTGGCTGTGCTTGCAGGCTGCTGGAGCCTTCTGGTAGATCCAGTATTACAGATAACCTGAGAATAAATCCTTTGGATTATCACTGCAGTCAAGAGATGACTCAGAGCAGCCTGCCTATTAACCTTTCCTTGAGGCTAGAAGCAGAAGAAAGGTAAGTGGGGAACAAGAAAAGGGGAAAGAAATGAAAAGAAGGTCGTTTTTGCTGTCTATTCTTGGTAGCATCACAGCTTTTTTTCCTTTACAGGTTCTTTCTTTCGCTTCTTGATAAAGAAATGATGTGACCTAGGTCACTAATAGCAAGATTGTATTAGCTTTAGGGTGCAGGGTGAGGGGTGTGGTGTCACTCAGCTAAATTATAAAGGGCTAAATCCAAAACCATCACAATGCTACAATGTCAAGCAGCAAAGCAGTGGGCCCTGAGGTTAAACTCCAGAAACCCTGAATAATGGTGTGAGGCTCCCTGTGGAGGGTACACAAGGCATGCAGCACTTTGAAATGGCACCCAGCCAACCAGTCTGCTGAGGGGAGAAACTGAATTAAGAGAAAAATGCTGAAGGAAAGATGACAAATTCAAAACATTCTGCAGTAGCTACGCTTCAGTGCACCATTAGGCCATTGTTCCAAAACCCAGCACCACACAGACTATGCCAGGTTTTTTTTTTCTATCAGAAAACTCACCTATTATAATGACAAATGCAAAACTAGCCAGTGTCAGTGATGATCCACTGTTGATCATGTTGATGAGCAGCTGGAACAAAGGATAGAGCAGCAATAAGGCCCAGAAAAGCCAGTTCAAAAGTGTCCATGGCCGACGGGGTGGCACTGTCGGGACTGCTGGGTAGGTTCCTGTGCGGTAATATTCCTCCTGGAATGCATCCTGGCACAACAAAGGAGGGCAACAATTACATCCCCATCTGCCAACAAAACCAGCCATCCCTGCCTTTGATGTTCCTCCTTCTGGAGGCCTGTAACCACAGGGGAAGATCAAAGACCAGCTGAAAGCTGGAAAGCCTGTACTTTGAAGTCAATGAACACAGAGTCAAAAAAAAAAGAAAGGGGGAGCATACACTGATGTGTGAATACTCTCCTTCTCCTACACACAGCAGCCTGAAAAACGCCATACCTGGAGAGCACAGCAGCCGAGGAAAACAGGAGGGATGATGGGACATGCACTCCTGCAGCAGTGCAGACATCACTGCTGAACCTCCTGCAGGAGCCACAGCCACTGCCCAAGCACTGCAGGTAGGCCAGGGAAGTGTCTGGGCTCCATCCTCAGCAGCATTCCCCGTTCCCTCTTGTTTCTTCCAACTGCTGCCCTCAAACAGCACCCACAAACCTGTCAGAAAGGGTGACCAGGCATCATTTTGTCCCACACTCCGAAGAACACCACCCCTTCCTGCCTTTGTCCCAGGGATGAAGTCTTGTTTACCTTATTTCCATGATGCCTGTGGTAGGAAGTTTGGGTGCTGAATCTCCCTAGAGGCAGTGTAGTGTGTCAACAGCACAAAATCTCTCACTGGCTATGAGCATATGACTTGACTTTTAAGTATAACACAAGGAGGATAATGGGCTGGGGATTGTTTTTTCTGTTTTGTAGCAACTGTTTTTTAAAGCACAGGAGATTCTGAATTCATAGCTTCCTCTATAATCCACAGGGGTGAATGCATTGCCTTTACTGATCTCACCAATCCAAGATATCAAAAGTGGGTAGGGGAAAAAAAGTGAGTAGGGGAAAAAAGTCCCTCCCTCTCTGTTAAAAGCAAAGACTATTAATCTGCTATTAATCTGTGTTATCATAAAAAAGCTGGCTGAATAATGAAGTCAGCATTAGATTGACATAAAAAATTAATTTAATCAGAATGAAGTATGATATTTCTTTAAAGAAAGGATTTTTGGTTTCTAAAACTTTTAGGAAAGCCAAGATGAATCAACCAAAAGACTATTTTTTACTACGCTATGATTTTATACTTACACTCCAGTTGACACAAACAATTACTTACTTGATAGCAACTTGAGCAATTACAAGCTGTTACCATTTTGTCTATTTCAAAATGAACATTCAGCTTTTATGGGATTATGCAGTAATTGAAGCACTGCCCTCTCTTTATTGAGATTACAAAAATTGTGTTTTACTGATGTGAGCTGGACTGTAGTGGGATCACTGTGGCCAATTACTGAGCCATCTTCAACACAGTTCACAGTGTATGTGGTTTTCCTCACAGTGCAGTGAAGACTGCTTCAGAACACAGAGCTACTCATCTGCAGAAAACTGAACTTACTACACACAGTTAGGTTTCCAAATGCTGGTATTACCCAGGAATGTGAAGAATTCCTGACTATTGCTGGCATTGCCATTAGAGGGCCTGCTACTACAGAGAGCAGGACAGGCTCCCTTGAAACAAGCACAGCAGGGCTTTCTTTGTTGGCTCTGCATGGCATGAGGGGCAGCAAAACCACTGACCACACCTCATTGGGAGGCTTGAGACAGATGGAAAACAAATACAAAAGGCAAAACAATGTCAAGGCCAACAGCTCCAGCACACTTCCCACTGTTGCGGGGAACAGCTCTTCAGTTACTATTCCTTACCCTTAAATACATTCATTCACTTGCAAAAGGCATCTATGGGTTCATCTGTCCTGAAAGCTTTTGTGAGGGTGCCTACGATACCCAGCAACAAGACAGACTTTAAACAGATGATACACCTCACCATTTCCCCAAATCACCTTGCCCACATTAGGTTCCTTTCATTCCTCTGCCTACAGAGCTTCTTTCTGGTTTGTAATGAATTCCATCCACGCAGGTATCACATTCCAACACAGAAACATGCTCCCTCTACTGCCCCCAGCACATTTAAGTTACTTCAGACAGTGAGGTAATGCAGTGAGGGCAAGTCAGGGAACATCCATCTCCTTGTGAGAGGCTGACTGGATTCCTCCTGTCCATTCCCACAGGAGGTCTGACAGCACAGGTAAGCTGCTGCCCCTTCGTGAGGAAGCCTACAAACAATGAGGATCCAAAGGAGGCCCACAAAGAATGAGGATCCAAAAATATATACTTTGTTCCCAAACACTGGAGTTCTGTACACTTCTCCTCTTCAGTCAGGCTTTGCTGATTCCCCAGGACATTTCTGTATTTATTTTCAGGCCCTGTTTTCCAAGCTTCTTTTACAAGCAAGAAGAATTAGAAGCTTGCTTTCTTTTTAATGAAAATTAAGATTTTCAAACAGAACTTCTACTTCAGGCGCTGAGGCTATAATGAGGCAAAAAAAGAAAACAAACATGAAAGGACTAGCAGAGTTGTGATTACTACATGCTACCTCTTCAGACCTGGCAAAAAGATCCTCAACCCAGTCCTTGTTAAAGTCAAAGGGAGCCTTTCTAGCAATGGCAGTTAAAAAAAAGTAAAAGAAATAAAAAGAGAAGGCAATGTGCAACCCAAATTGAACTTCTGTCATAATTTGGAACTTACTGATACAGTGCTGGCCATATGTGGAAGGAGAACAGTGTTTGCTTTAGAGCAGCAGCACAATGCCACTGTTTATCTGGCAGGACTCTGTTCAACTGTGTCTGTAGCAGTGACTAAGCCAAAAAATGAAGTGACAAGTAGCAAGAACATAAACACAACAGGCTCCCACAGAGAAGTATCTCAGATTGAGGTACATGTAGGTGAGAGCAGACAAGGAGGAAAAAACAAAAGAATAAGCTTTTCTCAAAGACTCTCATTCCTTTACTAATGTCAGTACGGGGAAATAAATATATTTTAAAAAAATTTCATGTCCCTCCATGTCCAGTAACTGCTGGTTTCATTACTCATTCCAACAGCTCTGCAATCCTGATCACTTTGAGTGCACAGGCCTTGACCTCAGTACCTGTGGCAATCTCCAGCCACTGAATCGTGCCACTACAGCATAATTCAGCACACTGTATGTGAGTCTTGAGAAACTTCTGCAAAATTATTAAAATTATTGAGAATAAGCAACAGCACAGGGAACCATAATGTGTGTTAAAATAGGGTCTCTGCTTTCCAGTAGCATGCACAGCTTGTCTGACTTTGAAACAGCAAGTGAAATGCTGCAAGCAAAACAGACAAAGCAGGGGATGAGTGTGTATCTTGCAATGAATTACTGCCCTTTGAATAACAAATTTTTACATTATAACACAAATATTTTCTGACTCTGAAGATGACCTGAAACAGAATTAATTTTTGGAAACAGCACCTGGGAGGCAGTGATGTTTGTTATCTGACCTAAGAGCCCATAATCTTTTTAAGATGCAGGGCAGAATGGTGAAAAAAAAATTGTATTTTTACCCTGCAGGTAGGCTTTCATCATTTCAGAACTCTGGAAGAAGTTGTTCCTGCTCTATATTCTGCCAGTGTGATTTTACAAAGACAAGGGCTTCAGTAAACCAGGAATGACTGCAATGAAGTAAGTTTCACTAAAGTAAAAGAGCTGGAGAAAGAGAAACATGCTGCCCTCAGAGAAAAATGAAAACCATCACAAAAAATCCCAAACCAAAACACAAACAAACAAAGGAACAGCTCCCCTCAGCCTGCATCAATCAAAAACATTCACATAACCAAAAAAGGTTTTAGTGGAATGGAAAACTGAACACAGCACAATTCACTCTTGGATGCAAAACTTCACTCCTGTACTTAAATAGGAAACCAGAGACTTAACCAACCAGCAAATGAAGTTGTCATGAAGAATACTATGATATATTGTACAATATAACATTATGAAGCATAGATGTACCCTCTGTTAGCACTAGAAGCAACTGAGTGTTTGCCAAAGAGGGAATAACAGAAAAATCCTGGAGTGAATTACTGCAACTATGTAATAAAGAATTGAGGAAAACAATTACCACATTCACACTTATGCTCTTGTCTTGCAAATGTCTGAATAGTTCTCAGGGGCATGAAACAGGGCTACAAAGGCATGGCAGCAGAAAGTGGACTTTGCAATGCTGAGCAGAAGGACCACTTACACACACATGGGCCGTGGGTAACAGCCTGCTTTTCCGCAAAGGTGCGGGGGGCTGTGCCTCAATCAGGTGTTGGGGGCACAAACTCTGAGAAGGGGCATCAGAGGCAAGGGGAGCAGACCTACAAGTGAGGTCTCAAGACACATTTACTTTCCACATTCCTGTAAGCAAGCTGCTTAGAGGAGCTATGAAGCACAGCAGAAACAGGCATGGTTTGAATCTGAGAACTGCAGGGCACTGTCGATACAGAAATGTTAATGTGGTGTCCTGGGAAGAGCACAACAAATGGCTCAGCAGAATTTTGCTGTCCCAGTGAGAGGAAACCAGAGCATAGCTATATTCCATAATTTCTACATCCAAAGCACTGCTGCATTCCAGTCTGAATGCATAACTTTGATCAAGACATTCAATAAAGTGAGCTGCCAGGCCCTCATGCCATGCATACCTATGACTCCTGCTGACTGAAATGGTAGTGCTGTGTGCATTCAAAAAGCACATCCCCCAACAACTATCTCCAACATTCATAAAACCAGCCCAGAAGAAACAGATTCTGAAAGATGAAAGATTCATATGAAAGTATTTGCAAAGGAAAAAAAAGCCACTGGGCATGTACAAATACAATCATTATTATTCTCTCCCCATGCTAGGAATCTTAAATGCATGCCTTCTTAACCCACAGTGTGAAAACAATTTATCAGCCTGCTCTTTTAATGCTGGATGTCTGCCTTGGTAAAAAAGGCAGGGTAAAACAAGGGACAGAAGTTTTAATACACTAAAGAATAGATCTTATTTAGCCCACAAACTGCTTCTTGATTTAGAAGGTGTCTTCTAGGGGAAGAAGGTCTTTCTACCAATCAGAAGGCAGTAAGACAATTTTGAGTTTTGTATCCTTATGCAATTTTCTAAAGAAGAGGCTTAAAACTGCTCTAGAAAGTCTTGTTTAAGCTTTCCTCCTGTTGCTCTATGCACAAAACAAAAGCAGTCATGACTGGAAGCACAGGATCAAGTTTGTAGTGCAAGAGAGAACTTACCCTGTAGAGAAACAGAGCACTTACCCTGAAAGCCAAACAAACCACCTCACTCCCAGCCTCCAAACTGGGACACTACACTAGCACAGTGGAAAGGTCTATTAGCACTAAAAGTAACTAGTGGCTTTTAAGTGCTGTCTTGATAAAAAAATCCAACCTTTTCTTGATACAGTTTGTGGAGCCAGGTAGAACATTCCTGCTCATCTTCTGGGACATCCTCTAGTGGAATCCGCCTGCCAACGGTAAACAAGAGAAATTGAAGAATATTAAATACTTTGACTTTCATGGACAGCACTCACATTATACAGACAGATTATCTGACAGTAGATACCACATTTTCCACCTTTTTTAACTTGTGCAGCACTTCAAGAAGCAAATATGGAGGAGATTTTGAAGGAATCTGTGATAGTCCCCAACTAATTGCCAAAACAAATTTAGCCATGAGGTTTACCCTGCCTGTAATAGCTTTTCAGGATGCGTGAGCAGCTATCCTGAGCTGAGAAAAGCAATTTCCATGCTATGCCAGACTGCCTTGCAGCAGGCTGGAATGGTGCAAAGGGAGACACAGCAAGAGGAACCCCTCTGCTCTGCTGGAGCTGACACCCACAGGCAGGGCCCTGGGAACACCATCCAGCCAGGCCATGTACACCAGACACCAGGACACCAGGCTGAGCTACCACATGGGAAGAGGAATCGAGAGAAACTTTCTTTTTACCCTTGGACAAAAATAGTTCTGAAAAAAGTACTTTTTCAAACAGGTAGAAAAGGAGAAGTAGAAAGACAAGGTCACCCCATTCCACCTCATATTGCTATCCAGGATAAAGGAACTGGACCAGCTTGTTGGTCCATGATAGCTCTTAAGGGGTTATGATGAACTTCTGATCACTTGCAGCATCACTTTTAGGTTCATGCTCCAACCCTACACCATCCCATGCCCTGAGTGCCTGTGGCACAGGTGCTGCTGGTAGAACCTCACCTGGGAATTGGCTCTTTCCCATTAAGATCATGGGAAGCCATTAGGGTATTTTTAATTTATAGAAACCTTAATGAAAGGAATCCAGGTAATGCTTTTTCTACTAAACAATCCCCTTCTTGGTAGGGAGGGCACAGCTGTCAAATATATCAACAATGACACCACCAGACAGCAAAGTCTGAGCTGACCTCCACCAGGGGAACTGGAACTGTCTCTGGAACTCCTGTGCCAGAGAGGTGTAAAGCAACTCCACCTGAACACTTAGGTTGTGTTTGGTATTCTGGCCAAGTGAGTGAAAAGAGATCCCAGTGCTGCTGCTGAGCTGACCCACAAATGAGTAAAAAATAATAAACAAAAAGTTCTCTAGACATTTATGGACTCCTCACATAATCACAGAACTTTACCAGAAACATTACCCAACCCATATGAATTTTTATCTGAAGTTCTGTGAAGCCAGGTTGGTAGAGATCTGCTTTCTGTTATCCACTTAAAAACACTCCCTTATTTGACCAAGTGTGATTTCAAGTACACACTCCTGCTTAAAAGGAATTAAAATATGGACTACTTGCCTTACATATAAATCTGCATGATATTTCTTTCCATTTAGAACTCCCAGCAATGTTGGATTTTCATTATTTCTAAAATTAAGGGTAGAATCATAGACTGCAGAAACTACAAGAAGAAAAACAGGTTATGTGTTTACTGTAGTAATACAATGGAAATAAATAACTCTCTCTCAGACAAGGAGAATATTTAAGGAAGTCATCAGCAATAGCACCACAGTTTGAGCTGTCACCAAGGTAAAAACGACAATAGAATATTCAACATGCAGGTTTGCAGAAGCCAAACAACCAGTGACTTTTTCAGGAACTGCACCTGCAGAATGGAAAGGTTTGCTCTCCATCCACCCTTGCCTCCTCTCCAACCCTTCCTCGTCAGGTGCAGTATGACAGCTTCTGACAGAATACACCTGGGACTTCCTAGGAGTCAAATGGCTGCAGAACTGTTTGTTACCTTTTTCAGCTCACTGGGAATCAACAACTGCCCCCTAAATCTGAGGAAACAACCAGGCAGATACACATTTTTTAACAATGAGCAATATATGCCCTCTGACTGAGAACAGGTAAACTGTGTGTGAGAGACCTGCAGCAGCAGGGCTGAATGCAGCCATGAATGGCCCCAGTTCATGTCCATTGGTTGTAACTCAGGCACTTCTCTAGGGCAGAGGCAGAGAGAGAAAGACACACCACACCTTGTGTGAGCTGGATGCTGCCATGAGAACATGCAGATGTGAGAAATAGAACATGGAAACTCTGCTGAACAAAACTGCAGCCAAACTTCCAGCACCAAGAAAACTGCACAGCTCAGGACTGGGTAGGAACAGTAAAACCATTTGCAAAGGCTGATGGCAGATAAACTAAAAGAGCAGTCACAAGCAGCTGCTACAGAAAAAGCATTCACTGTTTAGAACCACATGAATAACTGCAAAAGAGTTTATTTGAACACATCCTTAGATACACTATTTTCCTGATGTCACAAAATTACCAGGGAATGATTAATTTTCCTGACACTGAAATCAGTTGTGCATCATGGTATGAACTCTGAGTGCAATGACAGCAAAACAACTTCCATATTTTTTGTCACAAATGTGACTAAGAAGAATTTTCATGTGTAGCCTGATGTATTTTAGGCTTTCTGCTCTAAAGTTTTGCAATAATTAATAAAAATGCATGTGGTGAACTTTTATTGTGAAACCTCTTGACCCACCTAAGAAGGACTTATTACACAGGACAGATTTGCTCTTGGTTTTGAAACCTCTCTAGCTATGAGAGATAAATATGGTTTGGTCTCATTCAGCTCCCAGAAACTCACCACATCATTTGTTACTGCAAAACTGAATTCACAGTGAAGCCTGGCTTCAGTGCTGAAAGTAAATCCTGAAAACAAAGGCCAAACCCTTGTCAGTGCAAAATGACTCTGTCCCTCACTAACAACTACATTCTTTTCCTACTACAGATGGGTTCTTAGCTCAAACTCAAAACTAAAAAGCAAGACAAAATCTACTTCAGGCACACTACTCTCAATGTAAAACGTAAGTATGAAATTACTTTTTAAAAAATCAATTATCAGCCTCCATTTTTAAGCTTCTTAGTGTAGAAGGATTTTACTAATCTACTCTAATTTACTAATCCAATGTAATTGAAGGAAAACAAGAGCTCGGTTTGGTTTATACAGTGTAAGCTTCTTAGTTTATTCTTTAATAGCATGAGATTATTCTAACAACAATAGGGATGCAATAAAGCAAAGTATGATATACACAACACTTTTTCTTCCATCTCTTACAAGGCATCTACATTTGAGTTTTTGTATGAATTGGGTTTTTGTTGAGACACACTGGAAGATGGTTCTCCTGTTCTGAAAAAACCTTCTGTGGAGATGGACAGTAACATCTTTATGTGCTGACAGTCTTACACAGAGCTTTCCTTTTCTCCAGGGGGAAAAAAAAGCCATTCCAGTTTCCAACTGGTCTGCAGTTTAACATTCTGTCTAATACCTTTTAACAACACACTGAAATCTTTTGGTGCAAAGCAGTGCCAAACCCAAGACAATGATAGCAATGTGCAGGAGTAAACAGACCTCTGTTATCCAGATGTAACTGAAGATAACTAAAGATTTTAGCTTTCTCATTCTGAGAGTGCAGGAAAAGAATAACAATGAAAGTGTCCAAGAAAAAGGCTGCATGAAATGAAAATCTGCCAGAAAGCATCCACAGTCAAAGAAGCACTAGCATGCTGTGTGACATGCTGAAACAGGTTATCATTAAACATGGATTATGTAATTGCATAATCAGAACTGGACATCTCATGACTTTCTCACCCAAAAGCTGAAGAGACCAGAAAATTCACATTGTAAAAAAAGTGGAAAAAACCCTCCAAAGTATCCTGAAAACACTACAACTGTCTCACTCTCATACTAATACAAGCAAAATTTGAGAAGTTTTGCTTCAATTGTGTAATATTTTTTCAAAGGAGTTATATCTCAGAATCTCTTTTTCATTACAAACAAAACACAAATATTTTAAAGCTCTTTCTGTCAAAAAACCGATTAGGTTTTTGTTTTTGATTTCGTTTTCTAATCTCTGCCCAGCTTTTTTGTCATCTCATTAACTCTGGGTTTCGTCTACAGCATTCTGACAGAGAGCTAAGTACTTAAGAATTTAAGATTTAATTTCTTAACTTCAAACTAAAAAATAAATCTTTGGATTACATATCTAGAGAGGATTTTTCTTTGACTGTCCTCTTGAATTTCACACATTATTTTGTGGCCATGGTGGATTATGCCAGGATGATTCACTGACAAAGAGGCAATGAGTGTGGCTGCATGCATCTTCATACTAGCACAGAATGATCTGAAGACTGGAAAAGGGAGGGAAAGGTACAGTGGCATTCACTGTACTGCTGCTGGGACACCACCTTGACACACTCCTTAGATTTAACATTTCATTAATTGGGCCAGCTTGAAAAAATCCCACTCATCTTCTCTCAAATTTTGTTACTTGCTCTGGATGATGAATAGAAACCCACTTGAAAAAAAAATGCAGGACTAATATACAGCTCATGGGAGAACAAAAAGTCATTGCAATACGCCCAAACACTGTCATACGCCAAAACTCCATGAGAATATCACCCTGGAATTCTCATGGAGTCCCTCTGGGACAGCAGTTCCCAGCATGCACAACTGGAGGAAAAGATACACAACAAAACTTGGGCTTATCTACAATCCATTGTGAAGTACATTTTTAAGTACAAGTCATTACTAAATAAAAGCAGCTGAAAGGAACTGCCTGATATACAGTCAGACAATAAAAGTAGTAATTAAATATATCTTTGGCAGTATTTGAGACATCTGCTTTTACTGTAAGTAATAGATTAATATCTTAGAAACAGGTATGTATTTTCATTTGCTTCCATGAACAGTACAGGTAGCAAACAGCAATTTATTAAGAAAGTGAACAGCTTCTAGAAATTAAGTTCCTGGGGACTGCATCTGTAAATGCATACTGATAGGAATGATCACTGACAAAAGTATCAGAACAAGTTCAGAAAATATTAAAAGCATTTCTTTAAGAATCAAATTATGTACAGAGATCTGAACTTCTGAAAGCAAGTTCTGAAGGAAAAAACAATCCCATTATCACTTATGAAAGAAATTAGTTAGGAGGGGAAGGTTCTTTACTTGTTATTTTGCATGTAAGGTATTTTTATCCAAATACATCTGTTTATGCTGACAGATATCACATCACTGGCATGGAGGCAGATTCCAATAAATAAACTCCTTCTAAAACTAAGTTTTTCACAAGAGGTGGGCTTGCCAGACTGATGTCAATAATGTCTATTTCCAACTACTGCAGAATTACTTCCGAACTCTTTCCTGAGTGATTGCAACATGTACCATTAAGGCTTGATACAAAGTTTTGAAGAGGACCAACCTGTGATTGCTGCTGCCACGGGTGAATTACATCTACAGCCAGAGACACCAGCATCTACCCATCCCATAGCACTACAGCCTCTGACAAGCTGAATCACACCCTTGTCAGAAAGGATGAAAAAAATGGGACAGGAGCTCTGTCACACCCAGCTGTGAACAGGTCCCAAACCCGTGACTTGGCTCCACTGCTATGTCGTGCTGCAGCTACATCCCTCAGCAAGGCACTCCAGCCAGGCCCACCATCCCTGTGGGAGAGCAGAAAGTGCATCAGCCTAAATGGCAGAGCCCAAAGTGGGCTCAGGCAGCTCAGCACCAGTCTCTCACTTTTAGAGATGCACTTTTAGGGATATGACCTAATTTCTAGATAGTATTACACTTCCAGATCATGGACTGTCTAAAGAGACTGCCACCACATTCTCTATTCAAAAAGTCTGCATGGACTTATTATCTGTACATAATAATCCTACACAGAGTTCTAAAAAACAGAACATTGTTTTCAGATGCTGTTCACATGAACCCCTTGTCTCTATAGGAGAGAAACACATACCAACCCAAGGAGTAACTTTTCTACCTCACTCTCATTGCAAAAAATAACAAGGCAAATAAACCAACAAACCTAGAAGAACTTGCAGCACCAGTCTGGGGTCATCCAAATCTAAGAGGTTTACTGGCTGGATTTTTAAGCTCAAGTTTTTGCTGAAACTGTGTATGAGAAGTTATGACTCTGCTTCTCCTCAAACCCTCACAGGGAAATACTGCCTTTGTCCTACACTGCTCCTTCTAGCAAGTTACAGCTTCTGGATTGAGGCAGTGACATATGCTCTACTCCCCTAAATAAAACAAGTAATCTAGCAACCTCAGTCTCCTTCTTCTAAAGGAATTTCAAATATTTAGGGTACTGGTAAGTGTTATGGTAGTGTGTGGCATGAATGTCCAAAACTTTTTATGTCACTTGGATTTCCTAAAGTTGTTTCCTTTTGGAATGTTTTCCCACAATCACACCATATTTTGCTTGCATTACACACAGTAGTGATAAGAACAAAACCACCACCGAAATAACCTGCTCCTGATTCCCGGCTCAGGGCATTAGAGGCCACAGAGCTTTGACTCAACCCTACTTCTGTGCCTCAAAGTCTACCAGCCCCTGCTGTGCCCTCAGCAGAACAGGCACCCTTATTCCAAGGCAAGGCTAAGCCGTGCTCTTTGGGGGTTGCTGGATGCTTCATGTAACTTACCTCTTCTTCATGGGCCAGAAAGGATCCAAGCTATGCTATCCTCGTGGGGGTGGGATCTTGTGGCTGCCTGGGGAGCTACAACAGTGGCATGATCTACCTGGCTTGCCAGAGGGTATTTGGAAGAAAAGCTTCCCAGCTGACTGGGAAGCTTTTCTTACAGCAGCCATCCCAGATATGCCACGTGAAAACATGTCTTCAAGGACAAAAGAAGTTTTGACATTAACTTCAGTCAAGCTGGAACATTTTCTTCTAAACCAGGAAACACTTTTTTCTTTCTTACATATCAGGCATCTTACACACAAATCTACCAGATCCCAAAGACCCTGTAACACTACAGCTACTTAGCACTGTCTTTCCTGTGCCCATGAAGTACACAGAAGAAGACTGACAGTAGTAGTAGGCAAAGAATTTGATAGACAGTATTAGTCAAAGAATATTACTTCAAAGGCAACATGTGCAAAATGATGTCACTTTAAAGCTGGCAAATGCAAGTAACCAGAAATAAATGGGGAGCTCAAAACAGTATTAATAAAGAAAAACTTACTCATGTTCTATAATGTAGAAACTGTTTATGAATTTCACCTACATGTATCTTTAGTCAAGGCCCACTCCCCTTCCTCAGCTCCATTAAGAAGCTCTAAAGAGCAAATCTATACAGAAATTTAAAGTAGAATATGTTTGCATTTTAAAATTGCATTATTTGAGGTAGCCTTTTACCACAAGAAATTATTTTAAGACACACTGCCTCAGACTCTCTACTGATGCATTTGCTTCATTTAGAATAGAATTGCTTAGCAAATACAAAGAAATACTATTCTTTGGCAATAGGTACAATATATGCAACAAAATAAGTACCAATTGGTACAAAATATGCAACTGAGATTCCTCAACACAGAGTCACAGCTCACAAAACATAACAATAATAAATTAAAACCCAAAAAACCAAACAAAAAACTCTCACCAAAAAAAACCAAAACAAAAAACCCACAACCAAAACCAACCCCACACACTGATTCAGGACTCTTTTATTAAAACCAGAGGCTAGTGAAAAAACGAGATGCTTTTGAGAGCATCCCAGGATTTTTCTGCTAGGAAAAGAACAGCATGGCAAACTGTCAGCTGTTAGAGGAAATAACCATTTAGCATTGTCCCCTGTGACTTTCCTTACCTACATTTCTCAAACACTGCACGGTGACAGCAAATCCCTTCGTTCGTGGCAGGAGGTGGTACTTGAGCTTGGGCAGCCCTTTGGCTTCAGCCACCTTCATGCTGATCTGGTGCTTCTGCTCTGTGAACCTTGTGCCCTCACAATGAATCAGGAACTAAAACCAAAACAGAACTACAGTCAGACAGAAGCCCATGTTTTCTTCTGATTGAGGAGAGTTCTCTCAAATTCCCACCAGCACAACCCAAATTAACACTGCTAGCTGGGACACATGTAGCGACACACACATTTATGTAATTTATCTGACTGAGGCAACAAATCCCAACCAACCAAAAAAAAAAAAACCAAACCCAAAACCCCAAATCTAAACACTCATCCAACCTGCCATCCAGTTTGAACCTCAGCCTTTTGGCTTTAAGATCTGCTCTGCTATTTGCCATCAGAATGACTTGGTTTCTCTGAGTCACTCCATCTCTAATCAGCTGTTAGAAAACACTCAAAACATCCTCCTGTTGCAAATCTCTGTCTGATGGTAAAGCATTCAAATATCATGGCACCTAAAACTTGCTAAGTGTCTAAACCAAACACATTTCTAGGAAATGCTTCAGTGCCCAGCTTGTTTGCCCCTCATTCTAACCTGCTTCCTTTCCCTGTGGCACAGGATCCAAGGGAATGGCCTGAAGTTGTGTCAGGGAAGGTTTAGGTCGGATATTAAGATAGAAAACTTCAGGCATTAACTCTGATGTCAATGAGACAGCTGCCTGAGATGTAAGGCAGCACATGCAGGACAACTGAAAGGCTCATGCTCTTATCAACTATACAGAAGAAGCGCTCAGACATGAATAATTACAATCTTGCCACTGGCAGGCAGGGGAGAACACACAGATCTTGGGAGATTTACCACTTGCTCATCTGCTTTCTGCCAAGCATGAATGCAAACTAACACATCAGAGACCACTGCCAAATGACACAAAGTAAGTCCTCATAACCCACAGCAAAAATACCCAAAAAAGACAAAGATATTGAAGAAACTAGCCAAGCAGCCAGCTTCAGCTCTAGCTCATCCAAGAGAGCTTTTACCAGTGTGTTGCATGCATAATGTTATTCAGATTGATGAGACACAGAGGAACTGATGGGAAATTCTCACTTGTTCACTCAGCATGCTTTGCCTTCTCTACTTTCCAAGGTGCTATTCTTGTGCCTTTTGACATTATGTCATCATACAGAAGCAAATTAAAACTCCACACTGCAATAACCCCAGGTGTACATTAACAGTAATCTCCATTACATAGGTATAGCTCCTTTTTAGCAATCCCTCTACAAGAGAATCTACAGGATGGTGGTGGCTTGTGCTCATTGATTAGAGTGGAGCTGCCTACATGTACAGAAAAGTCACAGAGCACAGGCAAATCTCTGGAGAGAAACTGAAACTGAAGTCCCAGAATCACCCCTTTGCTAGACAGCCTCCTGCCTGGAAGTCACATAAACACTGAAGCACAGAGATTAGTTTTGATTGCTTAGCACTCATTTAAACCAATGACAATTAACAAAGGAATTTGTTTCAGAGCATGAGAAATACAGCATATACATCTTCATGAGGAAACAGCATAGTTTCTGTAGGCCCCGGGGACGCTGCTTAAGATTCCATTTCTTTAACTGAATTGCACTCTTGCCATCACTAGCACAGAAGAACTGCAATTTTTATGATTTCTGAGAAGAGGAAAAAATTCAAAGCCTTTTCATTCTCAGATAAAGAAATGCCAGGCATGGTGAATGCTAAAAAATTATGGTAATGAAAAAAGTAAGACTTTCTTGTTATTGAAAAGTTACACCAATTCTTTCCCTTGAGCAGAGACAATGGCTACATCAGACCACTTCTCTGACCAGGTGGCTTCCACTTCTACTGGGCCACGTCTGACCAAACACCTTCACAGAAATGGCAGAATCACTGGGAAGGAGAAAACTCTAGTATATTAACTCTGCAATCTAAGGTGAAAGGAGAGCTAAGGTAACAAATATAGCTGATGTGCTTCAATACAACATTGTCACATGCATCTCTTAGACAGCCATGAACCCTTGCATCTACCCCTATCCAGTGCCTGTAATGCGAGAACCACAAAATTTACTGAGTGCATCACAGTGCAGGTATTTTTGCAGTAGTATCTGTAGGGCTCCACACTACAGAGAAGGAAACAGACAGCACAGAACATGGGAAACTCCAGAGAGAATTCAGTTGAGAGTGTTCTCCTGATACTCCCAAGGAAGCTAATGAATCCAAAGTCTCAGGAACAATCTGGTAAGCATCACATACTGCCCGTGCCTCTCACTCCTGCTACCTCACACTCCATTTGTTAAGCACCACTCACCCAAAAGTTTTCAGGGTAGTCCCGGAGATTGAGCAACTTCTGCACCACAGTTTTCCGATCTTCCTCCCACTTGCGCTTGCAGAAAACTATCTCTAGGAAATACCACATCCAACCAATGATAGGCATGTAGGAGAGCTCCTTCTTTGCAAGCACTTTGGAACTCTGCAGGACAGAATCAAAGCAACACAAACAGGGTTAAACCACTTAAGAGTGCACTGTGGGTATGGGACTTGCTTAGTTAGATGCAAAGATATCCATTTACATTGACAAGACCCAGTTTTAACACCAGTGTAAAAGCAAAACAAAGAAAAATAAAGTTCTCTCATACGACAGAACAGTCAAATCTAATCTCAGGTATCTGCATGGAAGACTTCTAGAATTAAATACATATGAGTGTGTGCTGCTCTCTCCTACCCAAACACTGAAACCCAAAAGCGAAGCCAAATTCCTTCAAACATGGAGGAATCCATGTACATAACCTGAGCTGTAAGAATCAAAATTCTTAATTCAATCAGATCCTGGCACTGGTAGCTCAAGTTCCTTTAAGATACCTTGAAACTATACATCTCTACATGGAGGGAAAAAAAAAGAGGAAAATAAAAAGCAGAGTCACAGAGCCACTGCAGCACAACATACTGATGCTATGCACACATGGTTTACCAATAGAAGAAACCATAAACACTAGAAACAACAGCAGCAATAAGAATACTTAATTTGTGCTCAGTTTTGTTTATGAAAGGGCATACTTAGAGTAGTGAATTTCTCACCAAAGCATGCTTCTGGAGTAGGAAAAAACAAAAAAGCACTCTTTCTGTCTCATAGGTGTGACAGACAGTGAAGTGACTGGTCCAGACACTTGACAGAAAGTCTGTGATTTATCAAGCATTCAACATGTTCTGTAAGTTAATCCTACTCCAGAATTTAACTCTGTGATCATTTCAGACTAACATCCCCTAGGGCAGGAGAACTGATTCCATGTGCTCCTTTCCTGTCTTCCAAGCCAGCCCACCCTGGTGAGCTGTCTTACATTTCACTTGGTTATTTAATCAATAAAATGGCATATGTATGTGTTGTGTTCATAAAGAAATTGTTGCTTCAGCCTTTCCTGAAAAAACAGTGACATTTCCTTAGAAGAAAGATGGGAGTAATTACAGTCCAGTTTCTGACCATGATATTATTATAAGCTAACCCATCCAAAAGCTCTGCAGATAGATTCCAGGACATGGAATTTGACTAGAAATTACTTATTGTAGAAGTTACCATCAAGAGATGGTACATATCTTATAAATAAAAGGAAATATTTACTAATAATATATAATAATTAATAAATAAAAGGAAATATTTACTTTTTTAGTCACTCTAGTTCATTTGGCTGCTACAAGAAGAGACCTGACCTAATTCTTTATCTCAGCTCTTTTTTTCATCTGCTCTCCTTCCTTGAGAAGGAAAATTCCTTAAATAATTAAGCTATCTAAAAGCTTCTGGAAGGCAAGTGCACATCACACAGCTTCACCAGCAACTGTTACACAGAAGCAGAACAGAGGATGACAGAGAGTTCCATTTCTAAGAATGGGGGAACCATCTCTATCAAATGATTTAATGCTTTGCAATAATAGTGCTCCCTCTTGAGGATTTGAGATTTCATAATTTCAGTGATGGGCTCAGATCAGGACTCCAAACCCACTGCTCCCCTGAGAAGCAGCTGCAGTAATTTCAGTTTCAAGCCATGTTGTACATTAGTGCCCATTACAGGAGAGCAGCAACACTGAACTCAGACTCCTCTTCCAGCTCCACAAACTGGACACAGAGAAACAGGCTCTCCTTTTACCACTTTCCTGCACAAGGAGGCCAACCGCAGCCTCACCCCACAAAAGAGAAGAAACTTCAACATATTCTTAAAGTTTATTTACAGTAAGTGTTGAGTGTCATAAGAACTACCATAAACTAACCTAAGTGTACTCTGTGTAGAGTGCACAAAGCCTCCAGAACACAGTGTCAGGAGAGACAATGTAATAGCTGTCCTCCAGACTTTAAAGTGCAGAAATTATAGTCCAAAAAGCTAGCTAAAATGACTATTTCACCATATCCATTTTGTAATACTTTACATATTTTAAAAAGAACGTGAGTTTCGCAAGAGGCAGGAAAGAAGTTGCACCTAGCCCAGTGATACCAAGAAATGTTACTGTGAGATTAAGTGAAATACAGAACACAGGTAGTGTTCTGTAGCACAGGTATAACCACAAAAGCACAACAGATGTCTGAACTCTTCCCTGGGGCACATTCTGATTCTTTTACTGCGCTGATGCATTTTTAAAATTTAAAAGCCCTCTTTTAGACACGTGTGAGTATGACTCCTTAGATGCACATAAAAATAAATCACCTCACACTATTTTATGCATCCATCTGTTCTAGCAGTAGAAGGAAGGCTAACAACAGAACTAATTAGACAAAGGAAACTCCTCAGTGCATTATGCTGGCAAGCTGTTCTTGTGAGGGAGGAATACATCAGGCCTCCCCTTGGAAGCTGCCCTGTATCCTGGGGAATGAGATGCTGGAGAGCAGCGCCACAGAAAGGGACCTGGGAGTCCTGGTCACTGGCCAGTTGAACGTGAGCCAGCAGTGCCCTGGCAGCCAGGGGGGCCAGCCCTGTCCTGGGGGGCATCAGGCACAGCATCACCAGCAGGGCAAGGGAGGGCATTGTGCTGCTCTGCTTTGCAGCCTCACCTCAAGTGCTGGGGGCAGTTTTGGGGGACACAATATAAGAAAGACATTGAACTGTTAGAGAGTGTCCAGAGGAGAACTACGAGGATGGTGGAGGGCCTTGAGGGGCAGCTGTATGATGAACAGCTGTGGTCACTGGGTCTGTTCAGCCTGGGGAGACTGAGGGCAGAGCTCACTGCAGTCACAGCTTCCTTGTGAGGGGAACAGGAGGGGCAGGCACTGATCTTTGCTCTGGGGTGCCAGTGACAGGACCCAAGGGAATGGTCTGAAGCTGTGTCAGGGAAGGTTTAGGTTGGAAAAGGATATTAAGAAAGGGTTTAGCACTGGAACAGCTCCCCAGGGAAGTGGTCACAGCACCATCTGACAGAGTTTGAGAAGCATTTGGACAACGCTCTCAGGCACCTGGTGTGATTCCTGGGGATGGTGCTGTGCAGTGCCAGGAGTTGGACTTGATGATCCTTGTGGGTCCCTTCCAACTCTGTGTGTTCTGTGATTCTGTGATCCCTCTTAAAATAACTAGAGCTGTTTTGTTTCAGTCATCTACCCATGCACAGCTCCTGTGAAAGTACCTGGGGGAAAAATGCAACTATAATTGACTTCAGCCACTAACTTTTCCTTTACTAAAGTGCTTTGGTAAATATGTGACAGTTGCTTTTAATATTCAAATTCAGCTTGTTCAACAGAAAAATAAGTATTAAAAAGTGCTGACTTATTCCACATAATCTGCCTTCTTGACGGAAGTCAAATATTTTCAGTGCTCAGAATGGTGTAATTTCAACAGATGTTTAATGAAATTATCACTGGACAGGAACAACTTATCTACAATACTAACATTTTAATCCAGGTTAATTTATTTTGGCCAAGTTTGTTCAAATGAAATACCCATTAAGTTCTCCTTCATGAATGACTGCACCAACATCACCTTAAAAAAAGTATTTTTACAAACTTGCTTTAGTGCATTTGCTCAACTGTGCTCTCAAAGAAAGAAAATCATGATTCTACATGTCCAGCCTCAGTTATTCAACACGTCTGGTTTAAAGAGCACAACAAACAGCATGAAATCAATGTGAAAGCTGGAAGTGTCCAACAAAACTTGTTCCTGAGTTTTAAAATAAGTTCATTGTAGTGCAAACCATTAGCAACAGCAATCTGCCTTGTAAGTTACTTGCTCTGCAGGCTCCCTTCAGCACTGACATACTTTCAGTGATTCCAACTGCTCTACTTTTGAAATATATCACTCCTTCATATTATACTCGCTGGGACATCATAATGGCTAGGTATGTCTCTTTAGTCACTCAAAGCCATCATTCCAGAAATTTAGTTATGCTCCTAATTCCTCATGCTTTGTATTGAATAAAATTTCTCCATGTTGGAATGGTAACACAGACTTACCACTAGTAAGCCTGATTTTGTCCCTTCACACTTCAAATCTAGTTTAAAAATCTGTGAATATATTAAAATGCACAAACAACCTATTGTGCCCACACACCTATTAGTCTCATACAATAATAGAAAAAAATATCTTCTCACACCTACATTTAAGGCCACACTCAGCTTTTTGAACAGCAAGCTTCAACATAAGCAACTCTCAAATAAAATTAAGTTGCCTGACATATGGAACTGGTAGTTAAGGTTAAAGCCAGCAGGTTTTGCTTTAAAGCACAGGCAATTTTTGCCAATATTAATGTCTTCGTTTCAGACAAATGGCTGTTAAAATTACTAACAAAGCTATTTTATTGCTGCTATGTCAGACCAAGCAACAAAGCAGTGAATCCAGGCAGGGAGCATAATAAAGTACTTTTGGTAAGAATCCTGAATAACAGCTCCCTCCTCAGAAATAGCCCAAGTCCTGATTTTGAGTTCTGGTGTCCAGTTGGGTCTTTTTTCAAGAGAATGGTTAGCAACACACCTTGAGGAAAGTAAAGGCTACTAATGCATTTGAAAGGGGACACAGTGGTTAGGCTGTCCCAATGAGGTAAATCCTAAGACTGGAATGCCACAGACAGGAAAAGGGAAGGACACAGCAGAGAACCTCATTCATACACATGCCAAGATCTGAGTCCTTAGAAGAACACTCAGATTCACAAACCTAAAAACAGGCAAGAGACTATGCAACTCCTACTCCATCTCCCAGAAACATCAAAAAAACCCCAACCCCTAAAGCCACACTGATAGAGCTTTATAAACTTGTAGGGATTTTGGCAATTTGGGTATAAGGAGAAAGCCAGTTCAGGAGAAGAGAGACAAGAGAAGGAGCAGAGAAATGCACAAATTCAATGTTTCAACTAAGATCAGAAAAGGCAGTTTTCAAAAGGGAATGACTTTTTTTTTGGGAACCAAAGGAGCAAGACAAGTTTAAGAATGTTAATATTATTTTCAAATAAACAAAAACAATGTCTGGATTTCAGCTGCAACAGAGCTAATTTTCTTCCCAGTAGCTGCGCTTTGTGTTGAGGAGGAGAATAATGTTGATAACACACGGATGTTTCAGTTGTTGCTAAGCAGTGTTTACACTACATCAAGGACTCTGGCTTCTCACCACCCTGCCAGCAAACAGGCTGGTGGACACAAAGAGCTGGGAGGAGACACAGCAGGACAGCTGACCCAAATAGCCAAAGGGATATTCCATACCATTTGATGTTAAGCTCAGTATATAAACTAGGGGGAAAGATGGCTGGGGACCGCTGCTAAGGAACTGGACTGTGGTGAACAACTCCATTGTGGATCATTTGTTTTATACACTCTGATTCTTTTATCACCATTGATTATCATTATTTTTGTCCCTTCCTTTTCTGTCCTATTAAACTCTACCTCAAGCCCAAATTCCTTCCCCTCCCTCCCCCAATTCTCTTCCCCATCTCATGGGGGGCAGGGAGTACGCAAGTGGCTGTGTGGTGTTTAGCTGCCTGGATGGTTACACCACAACAACCAAGCAAAAAATTACTACATTTAAGGGCTTCATTAAAGAAATGTTCTATCTGTAAAATACTGAGAGTTTGAACATGCATGTGACACTCTTAAGAGAGTTACTGCTGTCTGCCAGAGCTGCAGGGCAGAGCTGGATGTCACAACAAAGCCATTCTGCCTGCTGAAGCCAAGCACAGTCAGTTCCAACTCCTTTGGCTCAAAGCTGTCTTCACCTTCTCCCTCTTCCTCCTCCCCAGTCATTTCATTTCTCCCCTCTTCACTCAATTAGTTAAGGCAGAAAAGAGACTGAAAGAGTTTTAAAACATGGCCAAACAGGGCAGACAAGCATCATAACAGGCACAGGAGACTGCATGTGCAAGATTTCCTCTTCAGCAGCAGCGGACATGAGATAAGCTGAGTAAGGTGTTGGCTGGTACCCAAAGTTTGCATAGAAACTTCACAGAGTATACAATTAAACATCATTAAATATAAACACCCATTGGCTCACAAAGTCCCTGAGCTAAAAAACACCAGAGGCTATGACACCTCAGAAAGGCCCCTGTTTACCTGCCTCTTTCCTGGAACTCTTTTCCTAAATGCCAGCCATAAAGGTTTTTATGTTCCTAACTGTGCTGCCACACCATGCCCTGAAACTCTGCACAGGGGAAGCTCATGTAAGGCAGCACAAGTCACCAACCTGCACTCCTCATCACTGCACAATCACCTACCCATGCACTGGCCCAAGACAAGAACCAGTACAGCAATATAGGCAATCCAATCAGGAAAATCACTGTTTGGTAATTTCCATTCTTTATGGGTTTTTTTTTTAACATGGCTTAAGAAGAACTTGGGCTGGTTGCCCCAAGAGGGAAATGCACTGCTTTGTTAAGTAAAGACATCTATGCAAATGAGAGCACGTGGAAACTATTTCTTCTGGGAACAGTTTCTGGGAAGTAAAACCACAGTACATTTCTCAGGACTGAAATAGTTTTGTGTTGGTTGTTTGGGTCTTTTGTTTACTTGCTTTTGTTTTGCTGTTAAAGAAAAAAAAAAGCAAAACCACAACCAGCATATATCAGTTTCTAAAATAATCCTAAGATTAGCATAAATGCAAACTGAATAATATATGCAAGCACCCAAAAAAAGGAAAAATTTCTTTTCAGTTAGTGCAGCACAGTAATTTCAACAGTTGTTTCAACTTTGTGGTTTCCTTATGTGTAGGTAACAACATAAAATACTAAAACAGAAACCTTATTAACTTGGAAAACTATTAAAAAATTGCAGCTAGTAAGATTCCATCCAACTACACAGCAACAATGTAAAACAAGGTATTTTTCACCTTGTAGGCCCCTTTTACTTTGTGCAGAAACAATCCCTCAATTTTCTACATTGGTGTCTTCTGAAGAAGCACCTGACCCTCAAAAACACAGCTTTATTTAGAGAACTGAGGGCATTTGGCTTACCAAATTGGACAGACTGTACTTCAGCACCACTGTTTTTTTGCACATAGGAACAGGTTTCCCTACACTTCCTACTGTTCCATGCCATCCTGCAGCTCTGTACTCAAGTCCTAGATAACATGGCAGAAGTTACTCAGAAGCCAACAGCCATTTTGGGTACACAAAGAGCCTGTAATGCTTAGGTTCACTTTCCTCCCCTTTTAAGACCCCGTTTTTGTTAAACAGACTGCCATTATTCTAATTTGAAAGTGACAGGAGTGGTGCCGAAAAGTCCAGAAAATGCAACAAGTCCAAAGGGAAGGCCACAAAAATCAGAGGTTCACACAATCCAAAGTCAGGACTTTTGCCAGAGGCCAGTATCAAAGCTACAAGGATGCTGAAGAACACTGCCAAAATGAGCCACTGGTTTTCTTCCTTATGAGGGAGGAACTCTTATCTAAATCCTTTATAGACAGATAATATCATCACCATCACAGAATTAAGTCAGGCTGATTTAGATGGGGGCTTGAATTATCCCCATGATCTGACAGGGGAAACAAAAAAGCAACCCAGAAAACAAAGGCACATGAACCCTAGCTTAATGCAGCAGCGTATTCAACCATGTATAACTCATGCCTCCCCCATCTCTTACTGCTTTTAGTTACTGCTTTCACTTAAGATGTAGCCAGCCTCTCTCATCTTAAGTGATGGCTGCTCTTTCATTCTGAGAGAGGCATGCTACATCATTCAAACTCTAGCTGTGGATTTGTAAGGCTACACTGGAAAAAGCAAACAAATTCTGTAATTAAACCGGGAAAGAATCACGGGCTAGCTCATCTTTGTGCAGCACAAGGAACTGCAATAGTTACTTCGTAAACACACAGAGAGAAATAACTGTAATGATCTTCACAGGTTAAGAAAATATTTCCTTCATCAGCTTTAACTGCAAAATGCTTTTAAAATAGCTGTGGTTTCCTGAGCCATCCTGTCTCCACACACTTGCACTGCACTGCTTTAGGCTCACCTCTAATTTTGGACTGCAGCCTAGTGAAATTTGAGCACAGATCTGTTAATTCAAAAACACAATTAACTTATTTTGCTGTTTTTCCACATCCAAGGAGATTTATCTTATATACTAAGAAACTCACCCCCAAGACCCCAAATCTCTCACAAAAGTTCCAACCACAGAGAAAGTCAATTTCAAAGTTGTGATTAAGGATTACGATGGCATTCTCCTTCCCGTACTTGTGGTAACTCTCTGGGTCAGTGTAAAGGGTGCAATCGGTGCCTGACCACCATTCCAGCAACATCACCATCTCTGAAACAAAGAATGAGAAATATGTGAATGCACACAGTATCTGCAAAACCACAAATCAGTAATGTGTTGAAAACATCAGTCACCTCAATGGCATGTGGCAAAGAAAGTGCTGTAATGAAGAACATGTAAGAGGGCTGTTTAAAACACAGCTATCTTTACAAGCTGGAAAGTGGTTTCTCAGCAGTATCCTAGTGACTATCATATGCCTTTCATTTCCTATTTGCTTGCTCCATTATCAAGCACAGGCTTGTACTGTACACTTTGTGTTTGTTTTGCTTGGAACTTTAAGTCTGACCACAAGACTTGTGAATCAAACCTTTATTTAGTGAAATCACTCTGGTCTGGGGCACAGGAAATTGAGGTGAGTCAGTAAAGCCAAGAAACTCGGAGAGCTCTATCTCCACAGAGATGGAAAATGAAAACCTGAAAAAAATGGCTCTCCTAAAGCAGCCCATGTCTTGAGCTGGGAGTACCGTGGGACTAAATGAAAGCTGTCTGTCTGAGACTGAAAAGGAGTTAAGGGACACGTCTGCCTCCTGACAAAGCTGTCAGGAAAGTTCTGAACCAAAGCAAAGGTCCAATGCAAGGGGCTATTCCTTGTTAAGTGAAACATATCTCTCTGGTGCCACATGAATGCCTCTGCTGGAAGGATGACATATCCAAGATGCTCTCCTGGCTTAAGACAAGCCTGAAGGCACCAAAAATGTTCATTTACCTCATGAAAGATCAAAATCAGGCCAGTCTTTGAAACACATTTGAATTCCTTTTCCACTTTGGTCCCCTACTGGTCCCATCTACTGACAGAAAACATAAACCAGCTAGGAACAGGTCTACATTTCCAGCCGTCATGAGTAAAATTATCTGCCTGAAGCTCTTGGATGACATTGTGCTGTACATTGGAGAACTGGCATTAATGATCTGTATGAATTCTATCTAACAGTGCTACAGGCAGGCTAACAGACAATCTCTATTCAGGTAAAATTACCTTAATATACCTTAATAAAAGCGTGTTTCTGAAACAGATAAATGGTTGACTTATCAGTCCACTTGCTTACTTCTAATCAGGGAATGTGACTACTACTGCAGCAGGAGTACATTATTATTTAATGCATGCTATTATGCATCAAAACAACAGCCCGAGATGTAGAGGGAGACCTAAAGTGAGATATGCCAACCAGGGAATGGCAGATTTCACTGACTGCAAACTAATTTTTCAGTGAGAACCAAAGATGTTCACATCTCAGCAAGGCAGCTGTGAAGATACAGAAGCAAATACCTTGAAGACTTCCCCTGCAAAGTGCTGCCTTGTGAAATACACTAAGGTCATAGATTTCTATTAAATTTATACTGGAAATAAATGCCCCCCACTCCCTGAAACACAGCAAAATTGAGTAATAGCTGGGGGAAAAGAACCATCCCACATTGTAATGTGCAAACTTTTGCAGAATCTACAGTCACATCCTAGGGCAGAACACCATCACAGAAAAGAAAGGGAATAAGTGACAGGATTCAATCTTTTGCTTAAGTAGGAATCCAACTAAGAGAAAAAAATGACTGCCACATGACTTTCCCTCTTTATAACACCTCCTTCCATTAAATCTATTCCCTGGGAAAGAAAACCAAACAGCCAGATATGACGAAGCTAAGGCTGTCTTGACAAAAAAGCCAACTTTACCTGAGAAAAGTAATCCCACTTCAAGTGTGAATTTTTTATTTATTTTGTCTTTTACTAAGGAATTTGAACAAAACTAATAACATATCGTGAATCTCACTACACAGGTGTGCCACATGCACAGAGCTCTTCAGTTTGATAGATTCAGTTTCAAATACATTCCAAAAAAGCACAAGCAAAATTATTTCTAGATGTGCTTTGATTTTTCAGGCTTCATATAAGCAGGATTTTTGTTTGAATAAATACTGCAGAAATAGGTCCCTATCCCTCACCTCACATGCCTTTTGTCACTGATGTGCTCAAGCAGCTGCTGCAGAAACACAGAGCAGGCACTGAACACCACTGTATTTAAAGACAGTAAATACCATCTGCCAATCTCTAATTTCTTAACATGTTTCTTTCCCTCATCTTCCCTACTCCTTATTTCTCCCTCTTCCCAGCCTCCTTTCTCCTTGTGGATCTCAAGCAATGATAAGTAGTGTCAGTTTGTGCTACTCTTGCATTGTGTCACCAGCTTACTTCCACAACCTTGCACAGAGATTTATTACCCAGTAACCTGCTGTGTGGCTCAGGCACACAAGGTCACCCATTCACACTCTCCTCCCTCCTGCACAGTACAGAGATGGTCGGAGGAAGTTTCTTCCTTTGTACCCCAGTCATACTGTATGAGCAGAAATCAATTGCATAGAGAGTAGAAAAAAAGATTCTTTTGCCCCTTTAATGAGGCTTTGGAGTTTTACCGCCACAACTGAGCTGATGAATACATATTCAACCACACTGTGAGGGCTCCTACCTTTCAAGCAGTTCCCACCTTCAAAGCAATTCCTCCAGTGACACTGCCAAACAATTAAGGCAAAGGAAGGAGAAAATCCATAGGAACTTGAAATCTCCACTCCCTGCTTTGAAGGCAGACTCCTTGCAGTGCATTACAACTAGCTTAAGAAGAAGCTGATGGCAGAGAGAAATCATAACCTCAAATGCTTAATATGGATCCCCTGTGTGCCTAGGAATTTTGAGCTTTTTTACCTCTCTGAAATAAAAAAAACACTCATCTTGCTTCAAAGAACACCCCTACCTCCTGCAAGAGTGGATAGTTTCCTTGCCCTTCACTGCACAAATCTGAGCTGCTCCAATGCCAGCACTTCCAGAATAAGTAACTAGGAAAAAAATCTCCAAGGCAGAGCTGAACTGTAAGCCATTAAATGAAAAACAGCATTTAAAGCAAGAAGGGAAGCACACAGAGTTTACTGAGACTTATACCTCAAAGTTTTGCAAGAATGAGCCATTAAAACAGTTAACACTGTTATTCTGTAGAAGGTGTTAGAAATTCCTTTAGCTAACTCTTCTTGATAAGGACCACATGACCTGCTGTGGCTCCTTCTAACCTTATCCATTCTGTAATTATGGGATAAACATGGAAACATTTGCTTACAAGATTAACTATAACTTACCTATTTTAAAGTTTCATTAAAAGCATAATTCTGCATTGACTCTATAGGAACAGTAATCTGTAAATTCTCAAGTAAGTGCACAACCTTATATAAAGAGCTACAGAACTGTTTCTCTCCATGACATTCTTCATTTCCTTTAATCTCTTCATTTTCTTTAATCTGTGTATCAGGGCAACATCAAGAAAAAGAACTCAGAAAATTCTTATGGGAATGTATAGTAAAAGCATAGCAAACTCTCCCATACAAATAAAAGCATAACAAATGGGCAAGCTGTTGACCATTATTTCAAAGAGCAAACAGGGTGAATGGCTGTATGATGAATGACAGCACTGCATATAACGCTGGGGAAAGCATCCTAAAAAATGGAAAAATAAGGCTAAAGACAGACTGACAGGTAGCACAGTCCAGAGTCTGTGCCTTGCAACAACTTACTACCTTTCCAGATTTTCAGACTACACCTATTAGGGGCACTCCCTAAGAATTTTTCATAGAATGAAGTCCACAGGAAACTAAGAAAAGCAAGTCTATATCTCCCCTAAACTACTTATAAGCCCTCTGTGCATGACAGGCAGGGTTAAACCTCTGAATTCACTGCAAAGCTGCCTGAGAGTTTTTCTAAATACTTCCAAGTATTCCTTACAGAGGCCATTCCACTGTTTCATTCTGCTGTCTAACCTGACCAGGCATTTATTCATTTATTTTTGGCTCTACTTCCTTCTTCTCTACAGAAGCTGCAATGAATTTTGAGGAAAACTTGAAAGCAGGAATTCTGCTTGCATTGATTAGGTACATGAAACTAGAACTCAGAGCTGAATATTGCTACATGTCCACAGGAAAAATGTTTAAAATAAATTATTTTTATAAAAAACACATACATCTTTCCTGTGAGGGGCAACAGAAACTAGTTCTTGGGGGAAAAAATCCCTGCAGCTGGAAAGTCAAGCAATGCCTCTCTCCCTTCCCCCAGATAAGTGAGGTCATACAGGAAGCCCAGTCAGACCAAGCATCAGCTTTCCAGCTTCAGATTCTCTTCTATGAGCGTGTTGTACCAATGAGGTACAATGGTGTTTTCTGGTTCACTCCAACACAGAGGGCCTGGTCCTCCACCTGTGGGGAAATGTAGGATGCTTGGTGTTCTGTGATTTTGTGGGTTTAAACAGAAGACCAAAATCCAGCCCCCTCTTTCCTTAGCACCACCACACGTCCCACTCCCCACCCCCACCATCTACTGCAGCTGGTGGTGAAACCATTGATATCTCTGGATTTGTTTCGCCCTCCCTTAAAGCTGTCCTGCAGCAAAAGTACTGGCTGATGGCAGGGAAGGGTTATGGGGAATCATGCACACAAATTTAAAAAGAAAAAAAAGCAAAACCCTTCTCTTGTGTCTTCAGGTCTGGTTTTGCAGATTTTTGCCCCAGTGTCCTTGAAGGCCCTTTAAGCAACTTCCTTGAATAACACTTTAACTAATTACATGTCTGTGCTTTTAAGGACAGAAATCACCAACAGAGAGGAAGGAAGAAATGGTGACTTTTAATTCCCCACTCGTCACAATGAGTTACTGAATGTGCTTGCAAGGAGAAAGATAAGCACAGCACAGCCCTTTCACATATTCAGGTTCCAAGTCGCATACATTAGCTTGCAGGAAATTATTTTAATGTACCTTTCTTCAACAATCATATATTCCAACACAGATAATGCACTGCATTTGCCACAAATGACTGGGGACAGTATAGCACGTGCTGACCAAAGGAATTAGTACAACAAACGGTGAAAGAAAACATGTTGCTTGGCAAGTTTCTATGGCACTGATGTTTGGTCTGTATGGGCACAAAATCAGGCAGTTGCTCTCTTCCGGATGTGGTTTCTTGTCCAAAACA